CCAGGGGGGTGTGTGACCCCCAGTTGGATTCCCTGTGGGGTGCTCCCGGGGGGTGTATGACCGCCCCGGCTCCTTGCTGGGGGGGCTCTGAATGGGCTGTACAACCCTCCCCCCCCGGCTCCTGCTGGAGTTTGGGGGCTCCAGGTGTGGGGAGCAGCCCCCTGCTTTGGGGACTGACGGCAGCCCTGGGGGGCTCCCCTGCAGGGGGGGCCTGTTTTGGCAGTGCTGTTCCTGTTGTGGCCCAGCTGTGTGGACGCTGAGGGTGGGTTTGGCCGGTCACACAGCTCAGGGGTCCTGAGTGGGGCAACAGGGACCCCTCCGTGGATCCTGGCTCCTGCCCCACATGTTCTTGGGGGTACTTGGGGTGGGCCCTGCCCACCGGGGACGGAGCTGGCCATGACCCTGGGTGGGGGGGACACTGCCCGGAGCCACGTCAGTGACACCTGGCTTTGAGGGGCAGAGAGCCCCTGGGACCTCCAGCCCTACCCACTCAGCAATGTCCCCCCTCCCCACAGCCCCCCTGCACAGCACCTACCACGAGGACGGGCCCCCCTCCTACTATGACAACCAGGACTTCCCGTCGGCGCACTGGGACGACAAGAGCATCCGACAGGCCTTCATCCGCAAGGTGGGACACGGGGGGGCTCCGGGGGGGGCCCGGGGCGGCGGGGGCCCCCTGTGACCTGCCCCTGTCCCCAGGTGTTCCTGGTGCTCACGCTGCAGCTGACCGTCACCTTCGCCTTTGTGACCGTCTTCACCTTCGTCAAAGGTGTGCGGGGCTTCGTGCAGCGCAACGTGTGGACGTACTACGTGTCCTACGCCGTGTTCTTCATCTCCCTCATCGTCCTCAGCTGCTGCGGCGACTTCCGCCGCAAGCACCCCTGGAACCTCGTGTCCCTGGTGAGCTGGGGGCTGGCCCTGGTTTGGGGGTGCTGAGCTGGAGGCACACGTTGGGGTGGGTTGGGGGGCATGTGGCAGGATGGGTTTGGGGGTGCTGACCTAGGGAGGTCAGCAGGGTGGGTTTGGGGGTGCTGAGCTGGAGGCACACTGGGGTAGGTTGAGGGGCATGCGGCAGGGTGGGTTTGGGGGTGCTGAGCTGGGGGGGTCAGCAGAGCAGGTTTGGGGGTGATGAGCTGGGGAGGTCAGCAGGGTGGGTTTG